AATGATTGTCTGATGTGTCCCACAACCTTGCAATTAATCCATCACTGTCACAAGTATGAGGAATATAATATACTCCTAAAACAAGCAAATTAAACTTCTAAGACAAACTAATCTTCTCACAGCAGGTAATTTCAGGAAGATAATTCATGCACACAGCATACTTTACTACCGGTGATCAGTATTACTACTGCATATCATCTAAACAAATACAATGAAATAAAATAGCTTTTTTCTGATCTCTATATTTGTGGTCCACCTCTGGATTTCCATCCATTCCAACATCAGTATGGAAGGACACATAAGCTTAGCCGAGTTTTCAAATTCCTGCTTCACAATGCAGAAAGGTATTCAATTATTATGTTCCATACATTGAAAACTCCATCAGTCTTGCCAAAAGAAGTGGAAATAGAAATAGCCATTTTTTGTGCATGGTATTTAAGAGAGTTGTACATTGGTGCCCTCTACACACACTGTAGAGAACTGCAATCCCTAGGCTTGTCTAGTTTAAAATAAATTTGAAAATTGCATGTGATAGATTTAAATCATTAAACAGTTTTTCAGGAGCTTAATGGAATGAATGAACCATTGAAATGACAAAGTAGAAGTGCTATTTTCCCTGAGTAGAAGTGTCATCGATTCACTATCATCACCAATAATTTATGTCCTTTTCTACAAAATGCCCTGTTTTCCCTAAAAGTGTCCTCCTTTCTAATAGTATCTTATTCCTGTTAATTAAAGTTATTTTATCTAGAAATTGAAAAGTTTGGGAATCTACTTTTTTTAAAAAAATAGATAAACTATATTTTTTTAAAGCCTTGGGCCTGAACAAGTAACGGGAGCACAGTGCCTTGGCTACTAAACCCTTGAGAGGAGAAGCTGCCATTTACTGTGGCTGTAGGACACCAGTAAAGTAAAGAGGATGAGAGAGGATGAGGGTGAGGCTGTAACTGTTTGGGAGGGCAGAAGATTAGAAAGTAGAAATAAAAAGCGACTTACAGTTGAACCAATGTGCACGGACTTGACTTTAAACTGCCTTGCAGTCAGCAGTGGCTGTGAGACTGGTGAGAACTCAGGTGATGAGGACCTAGCAGTAACAAACACCATGTGTCAGATAATAAAACAAAAAAATGCATGTTTTTAACAAGACCAAATATCTGATGGGAGATTAATCAAATGATCAGCCAAGCCATGTTAAAAAAAGAACTCCAACTATCCATTTTACCAGCAAGTCCCCTCTACACTTCATATGCTTCATGCATTAGAACAGACCCAAATACGTTGTCAAGCCTTCTCATCATCTTGTATGACAGCAGGATTACACTACACATAATGGTAAGACACACTCACTACTGTATTTTGACACCCTTTAAAGTGATGTTTGTTGTTGGAAAACCATGCAGAGGCATAAGTGCTATATGAGGAGCCTAAATGGAGCCCAACTGTTTCTTTGTGTGCTCTCCCAGCTAACTGCGCTGCTGATAGACAGCACTATTAAGCAGTCATTAGCACCATGTCTGGAAGCTTGGCTTCTGCTGATAATAACAGGCTATTCAATATTTTGAGCCTTTGTAAGAAAGAGGGCACCTAAATGAGAATAATGAGGTCATTCTATGACATGCCTGAGGATATGAAACCATGGGTAACTTTTTAGCCCGTTTGATATGTGAACACATTACATTCAACTGTGACAGATTATTTCTAGCCTTCAAAAAAAAAGCTTCTTCCATTAAATCACACTATACAACATCAGCACCAAGTGGTAATCAAAACACTGGTGTCACCATAAAGCACAACCTTCAAAATAATTCTGTGTGACCCGATCAAAAAGAAAACATATACATGGACAGATACGTGAAGTAGAGCAAGGGTTTGAGATAGTGTTAAAAAACCAGCTAATTTAAATAGTCAGCAAAGTTTAAAAAGATTTTATGATAAAAAGGTTGCTTCCAATTCTGCATAATATTTTATTTTGCCAAATGAGATGCATGGACTATTTTAGCTTTGAAAAGATGAAGAAACTGAAATTTTAATTTTAGACCTGCTTCTTGCTTAAAGCAGTTGCTGTTTCTCTTAAAACTGGCTCACTTTCCTCTGCAAATGGGTCCAACATTTTACAGAAGGTTTTACACCATGGGGCTATTTCAGGATTCTCCATGCAGTCAAGCAGCCTGGGTTCTGAGTGAGGCCATGCTGTGTGTCCACTTTACAGCACAGTCTCCCGGGTAGCACGCTGTTTTGCTTCCTGGCAGTACTAGCTCACCAGTGAATGCTTACAACCTCCATTGGTCAATGGATTAACACGGTTTAGTTTGTTGCTCTGCTTAGCAGTTTAACCCTCTCAAAGTTTACATTAGCAGTAGGAAAAGTTTTCCTTTTTTTCTGGTGGTTCTCCAGGATTGCTTCCTATGCTTCTGCCTACAGAGGTGGTGCTCGGAGAATTTTCCTGGGTGTGCGAGAGTATGACACAACTTTAAGGCTGTGCTACTGAACAAAGGAAGAGTGCTGGCCCTTAGCTCTTTTTCTTTTGGGAAAGCTCAGTGACCTTTGCTAGATGAGATGGTTGTGTGTGCGTCTAGTTCAGCTTCATATTTATTGTAACTTCATTTTGTATTGTTTTTAGTGGCGTCATATGTGTGTAGTTAAGGGAGAGCTGCATAATACAACTTCTTTGTATTTAGCTTCAGCTTCTGCATGTTTGTGTGATGTTAGAGCCTAAATGCACAAGCACAGCTGCTAAGAACCAGGTGCTGAGCTTTGTGAGCTCCCTCCTGCCCTGGGCACCTGCAGCAGCTGCAGCTGGTTGAGGATCAGGGAGTGCTGGTGCCCAGGACACTGCCTGTGCTAGGGACACCCCTTCCCTTAACTGGCTCCTGCAGCATCACCTGCACACACCCGGAGCCTGGCATGAGGGGATGGCCACAGTGTCCTTCCCTTGGAAGCCACTGGAACCCCCTCGTTCATAAAGGCTTCAAGGGAAGGAGAGTGGTTGTGGCAGCAAGGGCAGTAAAAGCACCCTGCTCTCAGAGCTCCACTTGCTGGCCGGCAGTTTCTCTCTGTACCCATACCTGATTTAGCCTAGAGGGAAACGGATTTGCAAGTTTTCTTCTGCTCCATTTTCTCTCCTTCTAATTTCCATTTTCTTGTTCTTAACTGTTTTTTACAAGGGATTAACTCGGCAGTTCCATTTAGACTAGAAGGAAAGGTTTTATTCAAATCATTCAGGGACTTTACAGGCTAAGTGTGTTAAACTTTTTGACTTCATCTAGCCCTCAAGCTTATTAAAGATTTTTTTTTTAATTAAAAAAGATTAATGAGTGGTTGCCCTTTTTAGTGGATACTTTTAAGATTAAGCCTCTCCAATATTATAATTGGAGTAATAAGCAGATGCCCTACCTGAAAGGCAATTACAAATACAGAGAAAAGCATGTAGTGTTTGTTTTATAATCCTAATGTTTCAATAGATGTTTGCTGGTTATGAATTATCTATCAACTCAAACAAAACAGTTAATTATGATTACCACTACTCTTGAATCACTAACAACCCACCCTGAATTTCAACAAAACACTATCCTGGAAGAATGGGAAGGTAGGAAAAGGGACTGCTTCATGGTATCTTTTGGGGACATAAAACGAAGTCTTTAAGAATACACTATTGATTTTAAATACAGTGGGTTTTCATTAGCAGAAAGGCTAGAACAGAAAAAGTGGTTTCTCGGTGCTCTCTCAAACCAGGGCCATAGACAGTGGCTGTGATGGCAATAACCCTGCATGTCAGCCTAGCTCAGCCTCTCCTGACTTTCAAGTTGGGCAGAGACAGGCTCTGACAACTGTACCTGGAGTACTTTGATGCATCTTTATCATAGGCGTGATTTATAGCCTGGACAGTCTTATTTTCAAAGCTGGAAAAGTGGTTCTGCTGTTCAGTAAATTAACTGCATAAACCATGATATTTAATTATAACAGGTATTCATGAAAATGTATAACCTGTTATACCTGTGAAGTTCTATTAAAAGCTAACAGATAATAGTGTATTTGCAGGAGGCAAGTCTGGATTTCCAACATCAAGAGGTGGCTTAAGCATTGCTTATATTTTAGACCTGTTTCTTCATTATGCAATGGATTTATCTACTACTGTATTTGGGTAGAAAGAGTAAAAGACAACTCACTGGGAGACATTTCCTGTTACTTTAACTCTCTGCCTTTATGTACTGAACCTTTAGATTTCTACAGCATGTCCTGTTTTATTTATTATGTGGTTTTAGAGCCCAAGCACTAAAAAAAAAGTTCTCAAAATTAGGTAACATAGGAACTTTAGGTCTTAATGTTTTAGGTCTCAACCTTAGGTTGGAAATTCTTCTGATCCTTAAATTTACAGAGAGAATTCAAAAAAATATACTGAAAAACTCCAATGCTAAAGCTAAATAAAAAGAAGACAGACTGTATTGTTTTTCATCTCACAGTCTTTGGGTCAAATGCAGGGTTTTTAAAACAATTTGATTTTGTAATGATGAAAATAATAAGAAAGTGCTTACATTATCAGAATCTAACCAACAAAATCTGAAAAACTACAGTTAAACTCTTTCACTGAAGGTTTTTATTTGGCAGAACCCAGTAATTGTTTGTCTCAAGCACAAAAATGCTATTGAGAAGAAAATCAAGATGGTTTGGAATCTGCAAACTTAGGAATTCTTCTCCTCTGGATTCCACTGTATCTGAATCATCTTACTTTTTAAATGGCTACATAATTTGGATTACAACGTTTCTGAAGTGATATAATGAGCAAGAGTTCTCATGAAAAAAATTCCAATGCCAACTTGCTACCCTGTTATGACACTGCTGTCCATAAGAGGTAATTATTAAATGGAAGATAATCTGAAGTTTTAACCTATGACTTTATCCATTGATTTTAATATAACATATATGTGCCTTTCTAAAAGAAGGAATTTTTTCAAAGGAATTAAGTGTTCAATAATAATTGTGCTTTTCTTTCTCCTCTCTAGTGTTCATAATGGCTTCTGGGCTTTTGGTTTACCCTTTTGGTTTCAACTCTGCTACTGTGAAGAGATTCTGTGAGAATTCAGACATCTACTATGCAGGAGACTGCCAGATTGGCTGGGGGTATATGCTGGCAATTGTTGGGGTCATGTTGTCTGTCTTTTTACCATTCTTTGCAAAATATGCACCTAAAGAGCACATATCTCCAACTCCAATACCTACTATTTTATAGTATTTTATTACTGTTTAAGAACAGAACATTCCTGTCTACATGCAATGGGCAGAAATTATTATAGCACTTCCATTTAGCTGTATTGCTAAGGAGAAAAAAAGGAGATGGGGAAGAGAAGGTCAGATTCACAAAGACCAAAAGTGCATTGATAGTCTTCCGTAGCATGAGCAGAGAACACTCTGGAATTGAAGTAAGACTAATCAGCAGCCTTTATACTGCTCTAAACATACAGTGGCATAATGCCTTAGACAAAAAAAATCTGTTTATCCTCAAAACATCTGTCTACCTCCCAGTTTCTTTTGTGTCTCAAAATCCTAAATCTTTTAAAACCTTCAATCCACTTTTTATATATTATTAGATGTCAAAACTTTTATGAACCCAATAATTTAAAAATCAATAATGATATTTTGTTACAATTATTTTGATTAGTGAAGAAGCACCTACTAGTAGCCACGACCTAAAATTAAGCTTGATCTCTAAAAAGAATTGTATACAAGAAAAAAGTTTCTTTTTAATCTGTATGTACTTGTACCTGCATATTGTAAGTTGTCGGCACACTTTTTAATACTGATTTAATCTTCAAGATTTAGAGTCATCTTCATGAAAACTTGCATAACATTTAATTACTTTTTTTCAGAGAGAGAAATATCTAACTACTTCCAAAGGCATCAGGATGATTTAAGAGTTTAACAATATGAAAAAAAATGCTAAGAATTTGTTTTCAGTATTTCTTAAGTTATAATTTTAGGTGGACTTTTACAAAATTATTTGAACTATGACAACTGTGGATTTGGGGTTTTGTTGTTTGTTTTTTAAGGTCGAAATGAAAAATCTCTGTTTACACAAAGGTATATGCCCGATGGCCCTTGTAAGTAGTGATAATGCAAGTAAGAATGAACTAGATTCTAATATTTTCATTACTATTAAAAGCCCATTATTGTAAAAAAAAGAAAAAAAGTGAAGTACTACTGAACACAACTAATAAGAATCTGATGCTGTGTCAGAACCAGCAAATGGCCATATTTCATGGGTTTGTATGTGAAATTTGTGAAGTCTGATTTCCACAATAGCACTGAATTCATTACTATCAAGCATTGAAATAAGTGCACTTGATTGCCTTAAGCAAAAGAAACATTGGGTTCTAATCTCACCCCACTATTATGTTTTTCATATAAAATAAAAATTGAATTCTAATTCTATTCTCATCTTTTATTTTCTATTATTTATTTTAAAAAGAAATAATCACATAGATTATATTTAATTCAGAGCTGTACTTCTTAGTTTTATATTTTGGCATAAACCAGGTGATCAAATTTATTATTCTTCACTTAGCTGAGTCCAACCAATTCCTGAATTGTTAATTGTTTTTAATGGAAAGTATACATGAAGGGACAGAGACATGTTGAGGATGTATAAGAAAATGCAAACAGATAGAACAATCACTGTGTTATTTTAATAAATGTCAAAGACTTCTGCAGTCTTGTTTACATGCCTCACCCTTCTAAACTCAATGGAACGTTTCATCAAAATAATTGTCCATTGTTACATTTTCATGCACTCTGACAACAAATTCTGTACATAAACTTAGCACGTTCCATTACTAATTTTTGAAAATGCAGATTCCAGTGTAGAATTAAGTACACTGAGAGAGAGAGCATGCGCATGCTATGCGTTTTTGCTCAGAGTGACTAAGGAATTAAATCTTCCAAATATTTAATAAAATAGGTTGAAGGAATGCCTCTAAAGTAAGAAGAATAAATTTCAGTCACTTCTGTACAGTAACATACTTTTCAGTAATGTCTTACACTTTTTTTAATGAATGGCTGAAATTGGTAATTTTCATATAAGTCAGAGAAGCAAGGAATAACAAACATGTAAAAAGAAAACCATCACTGCAAAGCAAAAAGACAGAGATGCAGGCTTTTCTTTCCTAACCAACCTGTGCCTTTACACTAGAACCATTATACAAGACAGGATCAATATGGTTAAAAAAAAACCCAACAGAACAAAACAAGCAACAACTGAAAAATGTTGAGTAATGTGTATAAACTGTATTACGTAGGGTTTTTTCTGTTTTGTGTAACATTTACGACTGTTCACTTAATGTTTCACTAGAAAAAGTGATTTGTTAGTGTAAAGTAGAAAACTTTTTTTGCAAAGATCTGAACACTTACTGAAAGTAAAATTATTTTAGATTTTTATTAACAACCATACCATACCTAGTAGACACAAATGACCTATTCCTGTCATTACTTATTAACGTGACTTTCACATAGGCAGAACTGGAGCCATCAGCTGCAATCAGGAGGACTACAACATTTGTGTGCCATTGACTACACGCACAGATGTTTGCAGGTCTGGTCCCATAGCTGAAGCTTCCTTTGTAGTTTTAACTTACTGTTACAATGGAGTCTTACAATTTACAACACTGCTGTACCAAACCCTTTACTTAAAAGTCAACTTCTTCCGTTGTGAACATCATCAAGCTCTGTAATATTCTGCACCTCTTATAAGTTAAGCTAATGCTTCCATTTGGAACCTTCTTTGATATTTTATAATATATAAAGGAAATCAAATATATGTATATGACCTCTACAACTGGATAGATGAAATTCTCCATGAAACCTCCACACTTAGAACCAGCTTAGCAGAGAAGGTAGAGATGATAATGCAAGTGATTCTTGCAACAGTTAGTAAAGCATATACTTTAGATCCTCAGTTGGAACATTAAGGGGGGTGTTGGTAACAATACATGTGCTAACACTGACAGATCACTTTTTTAAATAAAGACTGTCTGCGCGTTAAACTGTGTAAAAGTGTTTTCTTGTTACAAGTCAAACAATTTACTGGACCGGGTTCAAGTTTTATTCTAAATATATAATTTTTTAAGTGTAACTAAAAGCTGTATTTTCCATTAATGTGTTTCTGCATTGACTAGCTGGCTCCTTTTTAGAATATTAACTGTTTTCTGTATTTGACTTGTTGGATACAATATTTCAATTATTTTAAATGTGAAATTTCCAATTGCCAACACTGTATAATAAAATTAAAAGAAAAAAAAAAAATCACACTGTTCACTATTTTTTTGCCAACTCTTTTGTTTTACAACTCCCAACAGATCTGGTACAAAGCTTTTGAAGTACGGGAACTAGCCAAGGAGAAAAGGAAATAGAAGCAGCAGGAATAATCTATGGAAGTTAATGTTTGAAGGCAAAGACACATAAACATGTACATGGTCCATCCCTCATGAAAGACGTTTCTATGGCAAAGGCAAGGAAGTTCTGTGTTCAGATAATTATTTCTCTCCAACTTCCTCTGTGTCCCTAAGCAATCTTCCTGCAGCTTCAGAGTCTGTTGCTGTTTTATACAGGTGTTATACTGATTATTTTCTTTAAAAACATGAATCAGACAACATATCAGTGGGAAGAGTATGAATACCTAATATACACAGCTGCATCCTGTGAAATTATTCTGTAGTATCTATTATGTTTATTTCTAGAAAAGCTTTTACATGTGTTCTTTTAATCCAGCAAAAGAAAGAGAACCTATTAGTTGGAACTGAAGTAGACTAAAGAGTAGCTCCTTATTTTCTACCAAAGAGCAGTTTTAATGCAATATGCAGAGCCAAAGAGAACATTGCTGACATTTGTTAGCTATTAAACTTTAACCAAATATTCCTCAAAAGAAGTATATAGTCAACATTTTCGAATAGGTATTGAAGGAATGTCTAGAAATTGAAGATAATGAAAAGCAACGGCAACCTGAGTTAATGTTGATGATCTTTTTCTAAGACACTTGGACTACTGCAAAACTTAAACAATTTAATTCAGAATTTCTCCAGTGAAATCTAATCTACTATGTAACAAAACCCTGTTATTGCATATTTAACTGGGAAAGATAAACTATGAAAGGTAACATTGGAACCAAAACATTGTTAATAACATTTGTTGGATAACACAGCATATTCATATTTTCAATTATTTAATCAGAATTTCAGTATCAGTTTTGGTAGATGCTTTAGGATGTCCAGCCTTTATGGGTAATGATTAGTGAAAATCAGTTTTGGACAACCATTTTGACTTTTAAATTTCATTCATTGTTTTTACATATGCTGCCATCTCAACATCTGCAATTTTAACAAACTGTTGGAAAGTGTTTTGTTCTTGAATAGTTGCTGGTCTGACAGAGACACACTTGAAAATGTTCCTTTTTGCGTCATAGTTTCCCATGCACCTGTGCACTCGACCTCTAATGAGTCTTGGAAGGTCCCGGTCCTTCATCAAAAGCATAACAGATAAAAAAAATATATCACCTTTCTAACGGAAAAGCTTTCAAAATGTCCAGTTCTTAGATATTAGTGGATTTCTGAAGGCTACATCAAACATAGGAGGAATTTACATCGGTTCTTTTGCTATTGTTATCTACTTAGAAGCTGAACTGAAAGTCCCATGTTTTTTGCTGAAACAGAAGTCTGAGAACGCCTGAATAGTGACTGGATCCAGTTTGGGAACAATATGCTATAAGCATCCAGCTTTCCTTTGACACAATAATTTTCTGTTTTATCAGACCAACATATTATTAGCTTCATAAAAGGGATTATAGCTAGTGGTGTCTGTGTTATGTACGGACATAGAATACTTACAATTTCATAAAATACACAAGGCAGACTCTGCTTTCCATCTCTCAAAAGAAAATTCTTCGCCCCATATGCCCCAGGTGTGACTGCAGAATCAAGTGTGCCTATACAATTTAGCAAAAATAAATCATGATGTAAACATCAGAGCAGTACTAAGTATGCTATACAAAGATACCATGACAACATTTACCTCACAAAAGCACTAAGATATACCAAATTAGCATCATCTTTTTGTGAGAACTTGCTCTGACAGCACTGGAAGCTCCAATACTAATTATGGGCTTTACATACTCTTTGAATAGCAAAATGGCATATAATGGCTCTCTAAACTGAGTGACCAAATGTGGTTTTCATAGCCATCACTGCAAACAGGTTATTCCCTTGTTAAGCAGAGCACAACACAATTCTCTTTACTGATCTTCACATGCAAATCAACTTTAAATATTTGCAACCTTCTCAAACAGTTTTCTGAGATGCCATTACATTGTATATTCTTATTCACCTTGATTTAAAGGTTAGTCATTTCAGTCTTTTGTCATGTTCATTTCTCAGATAATGTCAGTTAAAAAGCAAAGTGAAACACACTAAAAGTCACCTATATTTAGAAGTACTTCAGACTCGAATTTATTCCCAGATTAATTGTAATAAAAATTACTGTTAAACTGTACCTCTTTACAGAAGGTTAATTTTTAATAGGAAAATTTATTCTAATATATTCTAAAAATAAGGAAAGAAAAGAAACAGGATAGAAAGTTTAAATGTTGGATGATAACTGTATTATTAATTTTGTACCTATTTTAGTCAGCTTTGATAGCTGAATGAATCTCCCAGCAGGAAAATTACATGGTACTCATGCCAGTATTCTGTGGTTTTAAATATTTCAGCTACCGTTCCTACACTTAGTAACATTTTCTCTTGGCTGTTGTCCTACCATTATTACCGGTTATACCACAATCTACTATGCTTACCTAAAACTTCAAATAATATTGCAGTTTTATAAGCATATTGACTCCAGTGCCTCATACTTTCAATGACTGAAGATATGATTCGTAAAGAATTCTTTTTTTCCTTAATTTTTAATTGAGATGATGAAACATCCTTTCAGAGTAAGAGGAAAACTCAAGTTAGAGATACACACTCACACAACTTTAAAAGGCACATGGACATTTGTGTATTATGTTAAATATCCAATATTTACATTAAAATCAGAGTATTTGTTCAGATTCTACAAATAACTCCCTACTGATTTATAGGATCATGATGAGGACTGTAGGTTATTATAGTATGAAAATCTCAATTCTAATTTTTCAGAAACTTAAGGGTTCACTAAGGCAGCTAGGACTGGTGAAAGCCTCATATTGCTTCAATTTTTCTTTACTGTTTTCTTCATTCTATCTTCCTATTTACTCTAAGTTTACCTGACTTTTGTTTTCTGGGACACGTTCAAATTGTTTTTCAGTCATTTCATTTTGCTGAATATTGCGGTTAAACTTATATGCCAGACTATGATCCTGCAGACTTCTTGAAACAGTGTTAGGTTTCACTGGCCATTGTCCTTTAGGTGTATATGTTTGGCTGGTTTCTGTTGTTTTGATATGCTGAGATGAGATATGGTTATCAGGTGTTTTTTGCTGCTGAGCAGTTTTCAAACTATTTGAAAGGCTCTCAAACTTCTGAATAATTCCACTATCAGATCTTGACTCTACTGCGTTACTTAAAGGAGTATACTCATTTCTGTTCCAGACTTTGGTACTGGGCGCCTTCTCTTCTGCCCTGCAGTATATTAGACATAGTTCAGTATCACAATATCTATTCCGAATACTCAGATATGTAATTAAAGTATATAAAAGCAATCTACGTATTGTTGTTTTAGCTTTAAAAACATCTGTTAAATATTCTGACTCAAAGCACTTGAGTATGCACTTAAATTTCTCCATATACAGAGCAGTGATCACACCTGTGCTTATATCCAGCTGAACTCAACAGGCCTTAAAAACTTGATTATTGCCAGGTATAAGGATCCTTACTGGTCTAAGATCCACATCTTTTCCATAACTCTAAAATAAAATAAGCAAAGTTTCTTCTGACAGTGATATTTCTGTATTCTTCTGTCACCATTACTGAAGAAGTAATTTTACAACAAACTCTAGTGCTGACATTATTTCTAACACCTTTCATTTTATAAAGGCATCTTAGAAATTCCTTCCACTCCCATTCCATTTTGCCTCTGAATGCACTTGTTTGAAACATTCACTCTCCTTTTGCCATTGGAAAGGAATAGGAGGAAGTGAAGAGTCAAAAAGGACAATTATAACATTGCTGGAAGTTTTCCTGACAGCTCTAGGCATCTGAATCTGTAAGCTTTTCCTTGGTTTATAAAAGCACAGAGTTCACAATTATATTCAGTATTGATCAAATGTTTTGATATAAAATTGCCCTCAGGTACACTGAGTCTATTGATAATTTTGGTCTGAAAGTGGGAAAAACTTCAACTAAAGGGTTATCTCAAAAAATTACATCCAAGACCAGCAAAATTCAATCAAATTTTATGGTAAGACTGAATTTTAGGCCTGATAATAAGGCTAGATATTAGGTCTAACTAATAAGCCTCATTAGGTACACTGGAAAAATACTTTATTTCAGTGGGTTTTGGCTCATAAGCACAATGTAATTATTTAGGACTACAGTGATGATCTGAAAATTAAAGGGGTCTCTCTGAATCCTACAAGAATATGGAAAAATATAAGACATACTTTTGCATGAGAATAATTTTGGCTAAGGAAGGATAACAAAAATTAAAGACTCCACCAACCTGCAGGCATACAAGTTTTTTCCAGCATTTGCTAAATTAGACTTTGATGCATTTGGTGGTTTCATAAGGCAAGGAGCCATCTGATGTTCTGTTCGGCTGTCAAAAATAAGTTTAAAGTATCAGTGACATAGTAGCAGCTTTACTGTTAGACAGACACATAGATCATAGCTTGTGAAACAATTAGTACCCAAATAAAAATCAATAACCAACAAATAATCTGCTTTTACATACCCGTTGTTTGCTGCTTTCTGTAGTTCAGCCACTTCTGGGTTTGCAGTTCCCCAACCTAATTCTCAAAAGATAAAGGATTGAATATGGATACAAACTGAAAAGAATGAAAGGTAACAGGTCTTCTCAG